CACACCTACATACATACACAAACACACACTCACCTGCATACACACAGACACATACATACACACAAGCACACATACACACACACACACCTGCAGACACAGTCACACACAGACACATACATACACACAAGCACACATACACACACACACACCTGCAGACACAGTCACACACAAACACACACATGCATACATAAACACATACCCACATACACGCATAGAAACACAAACATGCACACAGAAATACATACAAGCACACACAAATGCACATAAACACACACAAACATACATTTAAGTACACAAACTCAAACACACACACACAAACACACTAGTAGGTCGAGTGCTTATAAACGCTGATACTGAGCTTGCAGTCACAAATACACAAACACATTTAAGTGTGTGGGTAAAACATAATGTGTAAGAGAGACTGTGTGTGTGTGTGTGTGTGTGTGTGTGTGTGTGTGTGTGTGTGTGTGTAAGAAATAATGTGCATAAGAGCAAGAGAGAGACTGTGTGTCTGTTCATTCGTGTGTAAGGATGTGTGAATGAGAGAGTGTGTTTGTGTGTGTGTGTGTGTGTGTGTGTTAGTATCTGCCTGCAGCACAACAACAGGTAAAGTGTGAAGTGTTGTTGTGTGTCTGTTGTTAACAGTGTGTGTATGTGTGTGCGCTAATGTCTGCTGTTTTAATAAAGCTAATTAGCCGCTAATTACTGAACATCTGTAATTACAAGTCTTGCTGATACGTCCATTAACACACACACACACTCACCCACACACACACACATACACACACACGCACGCACCAGAGCCTGACGGTTATTTATTTTGCTCAAGGAGAAAAGAAGTTGAAGAATTTAGGAGTGCACTACATAAGAACAATAATAATAGTTCATTTTCTTTTTGGCTCAGTCACTTTATTAATCAGGGGTCACCACAGCAGAATGAACCGCCAACTTATCCAGCATATATTTTACACAGCGGATGCGCTTCCAGCTGCAACCCGGTACTGGGAAGTATATTGAGTGCAGTTGGTTTATATAAAGTTCAGATCACTTGTATATCTAAACACTGCTGTTTTGTTCAGAACTGCTGTTTAATCACTCAAGCGTGACTGTAATTGCTGATTGTTAATGATGCTGTGTGTGCAGGGCTCATCTGGAGGCCAGTGCCGAGCGCTGGAACCGACTTCTGTCAGTGCTGGAGGATCTGAGCCGCTGGATCGGTCTGAAAGATGAAGAGCTGAACAAACAGATGCCCATCGGAGGAGACGTGCCCACATTACTGCAGCAGCAGACGCACGGCATGGTCAGAAACAACACTACCTATGACCTCTATTATTCATGCAACTCTTCTCTTAGCAAAGATTTAAGCACAAAATGAAACCTTGCATAAAACTTTAGCCAATAATGTTGTGTTTCCATCTGATGAGTGAAAGAGGAAGGCGGCATGGTGGCTCAGCGGTTAGCACTGTCCCCTCACAACAAGAAAGTTGCTGGTTTGAGTCCCGGCTGGGTCATTTGGCATTTCTGTGTGGAGTTTGCATGTTCTCCCCATGTTGGCGTGGGTTTCCTCCCTCACAGTCCAAATGCATGCGCTATAGGGGGATTGATGAACTAAATTGGCCGTAGCGTTTGAGTGTGTGTGTGTGTGTGTGTGAATGAGTGTGCACTGGGTTGCAGCTGGAGGGCATCCATTGTGTAATATGCTGGAATAGTTGGCGGTTCATGATGTTGAATGCGGTTATACTCATTGCAGGAGTATTTCACTGATGTGGCAACAATCGAACGTCATTAAAAATGTTAGTGCTCCATTTGGTGCTCCATAGTGTGTAAGTGCAAAGTGTATAGTGTGCAGGGCTGGGCACGTCCATAGAGGCGACCTGGGCCGGCTGCCTAGGGGGGCAGAATAGAGAGGGCGGCGTCCCCAACACTATCCTCACCACCTGCGCCCTCAGTTATATCCGCGTCCCCAACACTATCCTCACCACCTGCGCCCTCAGTTATATCCGCGTCCCCAACACTACCCTCAGCACCTGCGCCCTCAGTTATATCCGCGTCCCCAACACTATCCTCACCACCTGCGCCCTCAGTTATATCCGCGTCCACAACACTACCCTCAGCACCTGCGCCCTCAGTTATGTCCGCGTCTAGTGCAGTAGAATAGAGAAGGCGGCGTCGCCAACTCTACCCTCACCACCTGCGCCCTCAGTTATATCCGCGTCCAAGACAATACCCTCACCACCCGTGCCCACAGTTATATCCGCGTCCCTGACACTACCCTTACCACCCACGGCTTCAGTTATATCCATGTCTAATGTGGCAGAATAGAGAGGGCGGCATCCCAGACACTACCCTCACCACCCGCACCCTCAGCTATATCCACGTCTAGGTCGGCAGAATACAGAGGGTTGGGGTTGGGGGCGGCGTGACCGTCCTTTGCCTAGAGCGGCAGCTCAGCTTGCTCCACCCTGATAGTGTGTCATTTGGGACGCCGCTCTTGTCTCAATTTTGTCTCATCTTTTTATTGTTGTCCATTCTTAAGTCTCCTTGTCTTCTCACTGTCGTCTCATCTCACCTTACCTCGTCTTCATCTTAGTCTCTTGTCTCAGTTAATCTTATTTTTCATCGCCTCTCAGGTCTGTTTCCCTCTCCTCTGCTCTTCTCTCTTGTCTTATTGTATCTCTGTTTGTCTGATCTCATCCTGTCTGATATCTTTCTGTTCTCATTTGTCATTGTTATTCTGCGATGCTGAAGTGCGCTTGTTTTTTGCGATTCTTTTAATCACACATCGTTGTTTTGTCTTTCCATTGTTTTCCTTTTTTTCTCACTTTTGTCTCTCTGATTTCATCTTTTCCGTTATATTACCTTCACAATCACCTTGCAGTGAAAGTACTCTGATAATCATCATATTGGACTGTTATATTGTGATTAAACGTGCCGCCACAATAACGAATGCGCCAAATGTGTCATTAACTGTCTGTGTGATAATGACAGTAATCAGGCTAATAGCAGGCCTGAGCTGAACAATCAGAGCATTGACACTTTAATCCGTAATGCGTTTCTCTGACCTAAGATCTCAAATAATATCAAATATTTACATACACAAATTCAAAGAAACGTATCGTATCCATCCAGACAGCAGTTTATCATGGGGACGTCTGTCAAAGACAAATAAAAGAAAACTCCACATCTGTGCTTTTGGATGACGATGAGTTTGTTGAGAATGTCTGCATTTCTTATCCTACGAAGTGTCTTGTATCACATGACCATTCACAAATGCTCAATCGCATATTAATACATCATGAGATCCACTTTGCGGCATATTTCTAGTTCTTTAAACTAGCGCTACATTTCCACAGCGTATTATTGTCAGAGCTGGTGTAATCATCATGGCAACAGCCAATAATTTGACCATATTTTTAACATGCAAGATGCCATGAAGTGCAATCATACGGTGCGTTTAAGTGGCCAAAAGGCCTTACTAAACGACTTTTGTATTTTTCTCCATTTCTACATGCACTGCATTATGGATCTGGACTTCAGTTATAGCACCACACGACCTCTGTGTTTGTTAAAACAGTGGATAGTTCAGCCTGGGGTTCTGCTACAGAATGTGCTCGTTAATATGGGATTGTTTTTCTCACTTTATTTAGAACTTCAGGGCAAATGTTTGATTCTAGATTCTGAAAGAGGTAATAATGGAATATAAAATGAAATATTAAAGCATAAAATACGTCTTAAAACTGTTAATTAAAGGCCCATATTGCAAAATAAATTGCTGAATAAAATATTAAATGTATATATTGTACATTTTCACTTATAAAAATTATGACAGGGCCTGACCTTAAAGCTTGACATCCTCAAATAAAAACCACAAAGCAAGTATAAAATCATACAATTCAATGACAGAACGCATCCTTGATCACTGTTAGCTTCTGCTCCGTCAAATGATGTCACTTCCTTAAGTCATAGCCTTAAAGGTGTGACTCTCTCTCTCTCTCTCCCTCTCTGTCCTCCTCAGACAGTTTGACTAATGATTCTCTGGAGCCAGCAGAAAGATTGCCCCCCATTTTGACTTTCTCCCTCTCTCCCGCCTGCACCTCATCTTCTTCTCGGGCTCTTATAATAGATTGTCTTGCCCTGGTGAGAGCTTTAGCCATGCGGATACAAAACACCAGGCCTTTTCAACACGTCACGGCTGATTAGTGTGCCGTGCCAAGCGGGCGACCAGGATAGAGCGCGGCCCACAACTCTAGATGGAAGAAAAAATGAATAATTTTGCGTGCGGTCTGAGAGTCTTGTAGGAGCCGAACACACACACTCTATCGGCAGACTTACACTGATAAAGAGAGTTAGAGAGAAACTAGAGTGACCTTTATTTCTAGATTAATCGAGTGGAATGAGGTCGTCAGATGAAACAGGAGCATCTGCGCTTTTACTTTGAAAAGCTGATTATTAAAGTACCTCTTTGTACAACTTTTCGTTTTCAGTTAAACAGTGTTTATACCAAACGTCAACATCCCGCTCTCCCTCATGAAGCTAATACGGATGTAACTGCAACTGCAGTTCATTGACTGGCCTTTAGGGGCTGAATTCCTAGAAAAAAA